AGTCTGAATTTGTAGATGGAATGAAGTGATCCAGCTACACTTGCTATGGTACTTCTGTCTATAATTGGGATTCTGTGAGGAATCTTGACTTTAATTCGTGACGAGATGAGATCTGGAAAGGAAGAAAGTTTTGGAAGATTGTCTTTAAACATTTTTTTGCTTAGTTGAAGAAATTCGTGATAGTCTAGTTTACTGTCTTCCTTGGGGCGGCACAGGTAGTTGCAACCATACTCCATTATTTGTGCCAGAAGGTAAGGATTAAGATCAAAGATGTTGATGTATCTCAAGTATGCGATAAATAGGCTGGTACTTAGCAAGAATTTGATCTTGTTTCTGACTTCTCTGTTGATTTCTGAGATTTTATGTTTACTTTTATAGATTCTTTCGAAACGACCTTTGAGTTTCTCATATTCTATTTGGTAGTCTTCTTTGAGTTCTGATGTTTTGTTAAATCTGAAGAAGCCTCTGTCTCTTGCTTCTATTCTGATGAAGATAGCTAGATGGGATTTTTGTCTAATCTCATCTTTTGATTGTCTGTAAATACTTAGTAAGAGGTTGATGAGTTCCTTTGAATTGTTTCTGATTGAAGAAAATTTGGAGGCCCACTGGATAATCCGATGGTGTTCACTGACAAGATCATCAGAAATGCTTGAGTCTTCCTCTTCTTCATCTGTATTAATGGTAATGTCATAGTCTTCTATCCCTGAGCTTTTCAAAATTAGATCTTCCTTATATGTCTATAGTCTTTTGTAGGCTGTGTCTATTTTTTCCCCATTAGAACTTCTGTTTGCTAGTCTCTCCTGTCTCTCAGGCTTTTGTTGACTTCTAGTTGAAGGGATAGGGGATGGAGATCATGATGAAAACAGAATAGGATTGTTAAATTGCTTGTAGCCTGTATTTGTTGGTAAGATAGTTGAGGTGTCAAAGCTGAGGTTGTTAGTGGTTTTTTCCGAAGTGTTTCCTTCTTCTTGGTAGGTGTATGTCTTGATGGTGTTGCCTATTTCTATGTCATCTGAAATAGGGAAGTCCAGATCGATGGACATTGATTGATTATCTTTATGTAGATCTTGTTCTAATGAATGTAATTGATTGGTTGTTATATTTGGTGTGTCTGGTTGGCTGTTTTCTGTATGGCGGCTGGGTTCTGATTGGTTAGGAGTTTTATTTGATTGATGTTTTGGGTTGGCGGTTGTTCTTGGGTCTGGTTGATCTGTCAGTTTGTTAACAGTCTTGGGAGATGGATCTATCTTACCGGAAGGTAAAGTCTGTAAAGTAAGTGGCTGATTTGTTTTTACCAGTTGGTAAGATGTTGTGAGGATAAATGTTTTTGCTTTTTTTTGTGTATTTTTATTTATTTGAATCATGTTCCAGGGTATGTGCTTCGAATAGTTCCAATCTTTCGCCAGTACTTTTTGAAGCACCTTATTTCTGAGCTGGCTATTATTTGCAAAAATTTTTTGGAGTGAGTTTTGAAAGTTCAAGAATTCATTTAGGATTTGGAGAGGTTTTTCTTTAAGAACTGATACTTGTGTTGACACGCTTCCATGGTTCTTCGAAACTATGAACTCAATCTGAAATATTAATAAATTTGAGGACTCTGGTTTGGTGATATTTGTGGTAGGGATGAGCCACTTTGTTGGGTAATTGCTGAGCAAGGGAATTGTTGTTGATCTGGATAGGTCTGTTAAAGTGACTTCTTGATTCTCATTTTGATAGATAACAGATACATGGCGTCGGATTCTATCAACAAGAATAATATCTAATAATAAATTGATGTTACTGTTGACATTTGTGTGAGGCATTGTTGTTAGAATTGGGTTTTTGCTACCCAGGATCATGACGTGGTCTGGTTCAGTTATTGTTTAGATGTAGGGTAAAACTAAATACGTGTTTTTGTTGGTTTGCTTTGGATGTGTTTACGTTTATGTGTTGACACATTGATGTGGTTGACGTGTTGGAGTTGTTAATGTTGATGTGTTGGAATTGTTATTGTTGATGTGTTTTGTAATTATGCTGTTGATATGTTTGGTTTGGTGGTATATTGGTTTAATGACGTGATTGTAATTGTGGTATGACTATGTTATTGACATGTTTGTTTTGATACTGGACGTGTTTATGTGTTTAATTTATTTGACGTGATGGTGATACCGATCACTTGTTGGGGGTAAACTGGATCTGGTTTTTTCCCTGATCAGAAAATTTGTCGCATAACTTAGGAATGTTGATATTGATTGCTGTGTTGTTGTTTATTGTTTGGAGTCCTTCTTTTGGACTTCCCTTTGAAAAGTCTGGCATCCCCTTGTTTTTTGTATGGTGCCTAGGTTGCCTGATTTATCGGGTGAAATCTGGCCAGCAACGATTCTTTTGGTGTCTAGGGAGGTGCAGAACCTTGTACACGACTGGCTAGAAGGGTTGATGCTGATTTTTTTTTGAGTTTACTGTAAATTGTATTGCTTGTGTTTTCTTTTTCCTGTTATGAAATTTGCCTTGGAAAAGAGAGGAAAAACAAGCAAGAAATTGTTAGTAACAAATGAACTAACAAGAAGTTTTACCTTTCTGAACAGTTGTTTGTATTTAGTTATAGTGTTGTGTACTTTAAAAGTTAAAGATAATGTGTTTCTTGGAAGCTTTCTCAAAATTACCAAAAAAGATAATTTTTGAAAAATTGGAGATTTTGCAGAAAGAGTTTTTTTTTTAAAAATATATGTTATTAAAAAAAGTATTTATATTTTATTATTAAAAAATAAAGAATATCTGTTTTTTTATAAATATGATATTTTATTTTTATAAAAAATTAATTATAATTATTAAAATAAATATTGTATAATTAAAAAAATAAAAGTATCCATAAACTTTTGGCAATCTACTGTATATAAGTTATAAATACTGTTAATTATATTAGCAAATCTATTTCCACTTTCTAATATGTAAGAATTATATTGCTTGCAATATCAAAGATACTTGTTAACATGACAATTATTCAACTTTTCTTCTTTCTGCTTGTTTTTCTAGCTCAATTCTTTATCAATAGATTTGATATTGACTTCCACTGGATTCTTTAGGCTATAAATATTTTAATAAGATAAGTTTATTTATTATCATAACAATACAATTGGTTACTATTACAAGTTTCACTTGACTTACTCTTGGCTAGAGTCGGGACTTTCAAAGTTATTGGTTAATAATAAATATATTATTAATAGTTATTAATAATTAATAAGAATTAGTAACTTTCATTATATCCTGCATATTTTTAATTATTATAATTGTATGTGAATATGCATACAATTATTATTAATGAATATATAATATATAATTCCATTAGGTTAATAAAATTTGTAAACTTGAAAATGACACCTCAACAAAAGTTTGAAAGAAAAAAAACAATAATTTGGCAATGGTTTATTGAAGGTGAAAAATACAACAGTTTACATTACTTGGTCAAATGTACTTTTTATCAATACAATTGTTTTGGCAAATCTTTAAAGATGACCAAACATTTACTAGTGAGTTGTATCAGCATTCATCAAGATAAACAGATCAATATTAGAAACATTTTAGAAAATACTAATATTTAAGCAATCAATAATAATGAAATAACTGAAAGCGACTTACCTTGTGAAGAAAAAACAGCCATTAATTAACAGTTACTTAAAGCATTAGTATCAGCCAACATATCTTTATCATTTGTAGAAAATTCCAAAGTAATTAAACTATTTGAAATACTAAATTCTAAATATAAACTTTTATCTCGCAAATGGTTAAGTACAGATGTTTTAGATAATATACACAATAATGTTCAACTTGGAATTCAAAATTTTATAAAAATTCAAAATTCTTAACGTTATCTGGTGATGGATAGACCAATATATTCAAAAATATTATGTTGAACTTTATTATAACAAATGAAAAACATGAAAGCCATATTTTAAAAATAGAAAATTACTCTAATCAACGTCATACAAAAGATAATATATTTGCTATCTATAAAGAAATAGGAATGAATCTTAGTTTAGAAAAGTGGATAGCATTTATTTCAGATAGCGGATCTGATTTTAAAAAAGTACAATGTCTTATACGTGAGGTAAAATTTTCAAAATTTTTAATTTTATATATTATAGGATCTTAATATACGTGGCAAAGTTTTAATGATTCCGTATATAGCACATCAAACTAATTTATTAGTTAAAAAAATTATTGAATTACCATTTTTTATAATAATTATTAAAAAAATGTTAATAATTATTAATTATTTTCGAAATTCAAATATCATACTTTCAAAATTACGGGAATTAATGAATAATTCAAATTTTACTTCTCAATATCCATGTATTACTTGATGGACAACTTTTACAAAAGCTTCAGAAAAAATATTACGCATTCAAACAAATTTAAAGATAAAGTAATAATTAATTTATATTTAAGCTTTTTAATAATAAATAATTTAATAACTTAATTTATTTTTAGGTTATTGTGCTTACAAACTCTTCACTTTTGATTTCACATTCTCAAGAAAATAATATTTTAATTAATATTATAAATGATAATGAATTCTGGACAAAACTTGAATCATTTTACAAAATATTACAACCATATGATTATATTATCAAGATTCTTGAAACCAAAAAGGCCACATTAGGTCAAGTTTTGCATTATGGGCATGGCTTCGCGAAACTATTAACAAGAATTTATTAAATAATAATAATTTCTGAAATTCCTTAATTATGGAGATAGATAATCGATGGAAAAAAATCTATCATACTATTTATTTAATTACTTGGTTTCTTCATCCATATTATCATAGTAAAGGATTAAATCTAAAATGGCTTTTATATATTCAAGAAGCAGCATATGGATTATTTTGTACTTTTTATCCAAATCATAATCAAGACAAATTTATAGATGAATAGATAAATTATACAAATCAAAAAGGTCCATTTTCTGCAATATCTATTAAAAGTCCAAGCTTTAAAAAATTTTCTTTACATTATTAGTGCAATATGTCTCATATGACACCAAATTTAAGCAAATTTGCATGCCGTCTTCTATCGATTCCACCTAACTTTGCAACTTCAGAACAGGTATGATCTTTATTGAGTAATATTCACACAGAATTTCGCAATCGATTAACATCATCACAGGCTGCAAAAATGGCACAAATTTCATGGTATATAAATCAAAAATCAAAAAATCAAGAAAAATAAAAAAATTTTGAAAAATTATATGAAGAAATAGTAGACAATAATAAATATATAGATAGCGATAATAATATAGATGAATATATAGATAGCGATAATAATATAAATGAATTTATAAATAGTTTAAATTTAGTGTCAGAGAAACTAATAGATGATATTCAAATATGTGAAGATAGTAAAGAAATTTTTCCTGAACTTCAAGGTATTTTCGATTCCAACATATCGAAAAATCATTAGGTTCTTATATTTGTAACTTATTTATATAATATTATTAATAGCATTAATATATGTTATAGAATTAGAATTCGAAATTTAGCATTAATACAGAAATATAATGGTAGATAATATTATAGAATAGCAATTATTAATAGATATTATTATCATTTATTAATAATAATTATTAATTATTAATAATCTCGGAGGTCCCATCTCTACTCTTGGCTATTATCCAACTCTACTTCTATTATATTACAGCGACGCGTCCATCAATCTAACGTCGCGCCATGCAAATCCCCCATAAACTCCCTAAACTTTCCTCCCCACATTGATACATGGATTAATGCATCGCGCCAATCACGTGACCTTCTTTTACATCAATGCAATAACATAATAAAATCCCAAAATGCACATTAATACATGAAAAATACATAAAATAAACATGCTATAAATAATTTGAAGATTTACTGAAAATTAAAGTGTACCCAGAAATCCATCATATTCTAACTTTGGGGAAGCAAAGCTTCGAGTCTCCGACTCACAATCTGATGATGGTGAGAATTATGGCGACAACAATAGTGAAGATGATATGAACGCACCATTTTCAAACTCGCATAGCGAGGAGACTTTCACCTCTAATGATAAAGATACAGGTTATCGCCACTATTTAAATCACCGGAAGAAAGCAAATAAAAAGTCGGTTCATTTTAATTTAATTAGCGTATATTAGCTTTAATAGATTGTTTATTGCGCTTAAAAAAAACTTCATTGATATACTGTATTTTTGCGTTACTGTATTGTATGATCGTCATTAAACAGAATGCATACAAAAAACGCACAGGTTTCGATAACACGCCATTATGGCTCGATCTAAGAAATACGGACCAGATGTATTCGTGTATGGTAAAATTGACTAGATAAGCTTTATTTATATAAAATTAATTGAAGTAAATATACCACTGTATTGAAACGGATAATTAAAATTTTACTGATCTAATACGGGATCATGTTCTAATCGTAAACAACCAGGATTCTCTGAGCAGATTTTTCCACATGATTTGCAGTATCTTGCGCATCCCTGCGATTTTACATCCTCACAATTTATGCATATCTCCCGCAGTTGACACCCTCTATCGCCCCTGGGCATCTTGCAACAAAGATATCCTTCTTTACATCCCTCCTGTTCATTTTTCTTACAGTCTATACATATTTTACCATCTTTACATATATCCTCGTTTTTAATACATACATTCTTTTTCTTATCTTCGCAATGATCGCATTTTTTAATGCATCCCCGTTCATTTACTGATTTACTACAGTTGTCGCACGTGACGTCACCCTTTTTGAAATGCGAAGGAAGATCACTGATATTAGTCAGTAAATAACCAAAATTATCTTCATCATAATGTTGACTAGTTTCCTTAGTTTCCATAATCGCTTCCCTAAGTCCCTTCATCGCAGCTTTTCCCCATGATGAGATAAAATAAGATGCTGCACCATTCATTATACGTTCCGTAGTAGTTTCTTCATGTTCTATGTGAATATGAGTAATTTCACCACTGTGATATTTCCCAAGCTCCTGTTTGTGGTAAAATTCATATTCTATCTGATGACGTAGGATTGGTTCACTATGGCATTTTTCACCAAAAAGCCTAGGATCATTCTTTGCATTGCAATTATTACATCTTGCTTGTTTGAAGAAAATCTTAATTGGTTTGCGTTTTGAAATCATTTTACTAAGTTTTTCGCTGACTTGAGATTGAAAATAACCACTACATGAACGTTGAAAATCATTCGAACCGTCATCTGGGTTAAGGTCCTTAATATAACATGGAAAACTATCGATCAAGAATTTGTCGTTTTCAAATTCATTTTCACAATATTCTTTGCAAATTTCCATGGCAGCCCTTTTCGGTCCTTCCTCTGAATGTTGTGTTTTAAATACAATCAAAACACTACTCCAAAAATCCACCGGATTAGCATAATCAGTATATTCTATAAGTCTTTGCATAAACTTGGCCTCCTTTTTAAATGATTGTAATGCGCGTATATTTGTTTCACAAAACCATAAAATGGCATCCACCTGGAATTGATTATTTATACTAAGGCCTTGGAACCGACGCAAAATTTCGTAAAAGGTTTGTTCGTCACTTTTTCCATGCGTGTCGTCAAAACCTGGAGTATCAAAGTAACGGACCCCGTTTCCTTCATGAATATCTACTTTTTCTGTTGCTGATTCAGAACCATCTGAGCCAGTAACGTTAGGATCACAAAGTAAACGGCAAATAGTCGTTTTTCCAAGACCAGTCTTACCGATAGCAAGAATATTTTTTACCATTAATTAAAATATGTATTTCTAAGAATTTTGTTTAAAAAATGGTTTTTTTATATCTTGAAAATACAATAGCAAAAATATTAGAAATTTATTTTTTGCATAATCCATTTGTCTCCGTGCAGTTTCCACATTTCCATATATAGAGTATGGTGTCCAGATTTCGGCTTTGGTCACGTTAAATCGGCGAAATCGGCTTAACATATAGTGTTAAAAATAAATAATCGCGTGGTTTTGAGCGAGAACCACAACTTAAGTATGATAACAATTAGCATAACACAGCATATACAGTAATAGTATGTACTGTATAAATAAAATCGGTGAAATCAGCGGAAATCACCCGCCGAATCAGACGATTTTGTACAGAACCGTACATGCCCGATAACCTAGACACCATAATACTGTATAGAGTAATTAATATACTGTAGTATCACGAGATTAGAAAATAATTGCAAAACATTTAACTTATTTAAGTATTATCCGGAAATAAATTTCCGAATGCTATTTGGCTGATTCTTTTTGAAAACGACAAAAATGTTATATACGATTTTTTTGATCCCTATTTTTTGAACAATACATATACAATATAAATTCTAGGAGTACAATTATAAAGTCAAAAAAATCCCTGTCCGCCTTCAAAAAGAATTACCCATTTATCGTACTTTGTCGGCTCATTATGCCCGATATGGATAATGTATCGGTGTAACGGCGAGTCAGTTGCTAACTCTAGCAGAGATTCGCGTAACCGTTACTGGGTAAATAAATGAAAGGGTGATTTTAGGCGTGTTTGTATTTG